GTGGTTTGAAATCTCGTTTGTGTGTCCTGGGAAAATCTGGTCCCCATAGGTAGACAGGGAGGCAGATTTGGGTCCTATTTGTAGCCTTCATGTCTGCATCGCTTCTGATTGACATTTCTGATCTGCACTGATTTCCTCCGTGCTCCCGGTCAATGCTGTAATTTCTCTAAGATGCAGTTCTCTGTCTGTAAGATGTGGGTAGTAATACAGCATTGAATTTCTCCTCACTCGAGTCACGCAAGAAGAAATCCATTAATGCAAGTCATTTAGGTAATAGAGTAATGGTGGCTATGAGCATCGCAAATACCTAGGTCTAGTCCTGCAGAGGGATGCACTCATATTTATATGGAGATAAGAGCCATGTTTTTCTAACTGCTACCAAACCATTTGATGTTCTGTGTTGAAAAAGCACAAGGCGGTGAAATAAATATTCTAATTGCAGTTCCAGAGAAGAATCGTGTGAAAATAAAGGATAGAAAATTGAAAAGTGCTGTTTTAACTTCGCTTGTCATTTGCTCTGCTAGGATATGGGAAGATTTTGAAAAATAAAAGTGCTGTTTTGTGGCTGCTGCTCTCCCTCTGTAATCATCCCTTCTCCTTTGCTCTAAAGCATCATGACAGCGTGGCAGTTAATAGTGATCTCGTGTAGGATTAAATCGTCCCTCTCTCCTCAGGCTCCTCAGACTCAGCTCCAGGTCAGCCTGGAGTTCCCATCCCAATCCTTAAGGACACAAGTTTTTCTAGGGCTGATTTAATGATACTGTCATAATAAATGCTTTGCACTAAATTCTAAATGTCTTTTCATTCAGCCTCAGCCTCCACTCATGCAAACTCCCAGTGAAACCAGCCATTTCCACCAAACCCAGGCTTTTGATTTACTAGATCTCAAAACACTCCGAGAAGCAAACATCTCCCTTATGTGAGATTTGGGTATGGCATCAGCTTATAGGTCCTTCTTTTCTACCCTGTGCAGAGCCAGGAACACAGACCTAGGGCGGCATCCTACGGAGGGTGCCAGGAGATTTGGGCATGTGTCATGGCAGAAGTGATTTTTAGGGCAGGACTGGCATGAGCTGGTGGCACACGGGGGTCAGCAGGTGAACTGAAGTGAACGTGAGAGGCATGGAAACAGGTACGGAGTCAGAAGAGGAAGAACAAGACAAACAGAGCACGAGGGCCAGAGTAACTGCGAGGTGGGAGTAGAAGTTGGACGGTGGCGGAGGATGTGATAACAGATGAGGCTGCTATAAGAAGCCTCGACTATTAGTAGTATATCAGTCTTCTGTTTTACTTAGCAGTGTGCTGGAAAGTGCCATGGATTCAATCTCATGTAGCTTGTGGAAATGCAGCTCTGTGTGCATTTGAAATGCAGGAGATGCCACGGTCTGGAGCGGATCTCAGCCCCTGTTTTATCTTGTACACCTGACATTTACAGTTGAAGGAAGCCTGCAGCAGGAAATGGAGTGCAGTTTATTTCACTATATTTATATGAAAAACATTCAATCATGTGCCCCGCTGTTTGTACAGTTACTAAGAGGATGAGATTGATAGTAAGTGGTCTTATGAAGCTATCAAGCAGTTTCATATTCAGGGCTCATCTTCCTGACTGTTCAATCTGCCCCAAACCGGCCTTTTCAGGACTTTCTAATTTTCCCAACAGGGCTTTTCGATCTGCCAAAAATTATTATCCTTGCCCAGACATGATCTTCAGGGAAAATCAAAAAAGACCCAGTCTCCTCCTTCCCCATCTCTGTCGCTGATTCAGCAGGCCAGGGACACAGTTTGCCGTTTCCTCATAGGCTTTTGTCATGTAACTTGTGGCTGTTATTTCATGTGGCTTTAGTCCAGGTTCAGCGAGCAAGAGCTCAGCAGCCCCCGGAGCACACGCCAGCTCCAGCCTCGCTGCCCAGCCAGAGCTAACCACGAACTTTTGCTGGCCTGGTGACATTGCCTGGGGGTGTGAGGAGGTGTGAACCCTCACTGCCTAGCCATGCTGGCACACAGTCCTAAAAACGGCACGATTATAAAGCTGAGAGCTACAGCTTGCTTTGCTAACGGGGAAAAGCTACCAAGCTTGTGCAAAGCTCTGCTTTGTAGGCAGGAGTCTGCGTATGTATGCAAAGATGCTTTGCCACTGTAGTTTAGCAGGAGGGAAATGCATCTACTGTAGACATAAATTTAATCATGGAGAAAGTCTATTTAGGCTGCAAATTTCCCTCCTGAACAATGTGTCCTGAGCTGCCTGCTCAGGAGAAAGGAGGGTAGGGTTGTTTAGGAGATGCATTAGGGCTAATGGCCCCCAGCTATCTCAGCGCACACAAGGATTCTCCAGCTGTGCTTAGGGAGGCTGGGATCAGAAATACAAGGAGTTGCAAGAATCCTGGCTCTTTTTATTTTTTCCTCCCCTCTAACAATCAGCTTGACACAGAAGCACAAGCAGAAGTCTCTGCGGTGTGACATCCATGCAAGAAAAAAGCCTTAGCAAGATATGTGCTCAGAAATCTTCAAGGCTTGATGCCTCTTGGAAACACAATTCGTGTCTGAGAGCCCACTCTACCCTGCCAGTACAGTGCTAACTTCACTGAACATAATGTGCCTTTCCCAAGAATCCCCTAGATTTTGAACACCGCTTGACTATCTGGCCCTCCGGGAGAACTGAAATTCGGGTGCTAGCTGTTTCCTCCTTTTCTTCGTTGCCTTCGAGAAAAAATGCCAAGAGTATTCAGCCAGAGTCTCCAGACAGCTGGAAAAGCTGCAGACACAGCTGAAGTGGACATTGACAAACATTTTCTGCAGTTCTGACGGCAATTTTTTGCCTGTCCAGTGCCAAATAGCTCATTGCACCAACCACCTCCCTCCAGGCCCCTTTCCCTCAGCTTCAGTATGCAGCTGCACCATTTCTCCATCCTCTGCCTTCCTCACTCTCCCACACCTTCTTTCCCTTCTGTTTTTTTCCCCATCTAGGTTAGATTCCCTGCTTGATAAACCCTACAGATCACCAACACTATCACACTCTTCACTCACGCTGCACAGCCTGTCCCTACCACTAGTTTTGTGCCTTGCACATGCAGATCATGAGCCATCAGTCTTGGCTGGTCCCTCAAAACGGACTTACTGAGCCTGATGCCAGCATCTCCAAGCCTGCTCTATGCATCCTTTTATAAATCCCAGCTCAGCGAGCTGGCTGGGGCGTGGATTGCTAAGCAGATCCATTGGTCTCAGAGTGAGGAGATGTCACACCACCCGGCACCATGAGAATGCTAAGTCGTTATTTTTGGTAGCCAAACGAGGAGAAACTGCAGAAGTCTTTAGTTATTATTGCAGCCTTATTCATGCAGTCAGACTGGCCTGTGTTGAACAACCACGAGGAAGAAATGCTGTCCCAAAGTACTGCTGTATGATAGTTAGGATATGGCAACCCAAATTTGGTTCACGGTCTGCCTTTGTTAGGCTTGTAACCCTATAACCATGCCCTGCTTCAGAGCAACCGTCTGCACCCTGGCTGTAATACTGAATCACAGGGATGTTGTGAGGCTTCATCAATCAACTGTGGTTTTAAAAGGAATCTCAGCTCCTGGCCCAAAAGTGTAAATCTTCATAATTTATGTCCTTGTTAGGATTTTTTTATACAAGCCTTTATCCTTTTTTTTTTTTTTTTTTTTTTTTTTTTTTTTCTTAAAACGAATGTACTCTGGGTCAATTCTCAGTGGGTTACTCCTGATTTAAATGTGTGTAACAGAGATGAGAATCCAACCCCTTGTCTTCAGCCAGAGGAAGGCTCTTAATACTGTAGCTACTTACACACCCTGTAAAAAGAAAGCTATTTAAAAGCTGCATTTGACTTCAACAGCAGGAAAATGTGCCCCTCACTTTTCCCCAGCATCAATCCTTTTTTAAAGCATATCGTGTATTTACAAGCTGTCTTGAGCACTGAAATTGATTTTAGAGCTGGGCAGTTATTAAAGGTTCATTTTCCCTCCCTCCTCCAGTTTCTAAATAAGTGCTAATACGAGGTGGTGGGAAATTCTCTCCATGAGACGGTGCTGCCTTTGCCCTGACTCTCTGAGTTTCTCGGGGAAGGTTTTCACTATACTGTATATCCCGCTTGATCTCTACAAGTAAAACTATAATCTTCCTTTCAAAGAAGCCGTTTAGCCTTGTGTGTATATACAGGTTGGAATTTATTTAGGAAAATAGCTGTAAGAGACTCTGGCACAGCTAAATGTAATTGAATTAGCAGAGGTTGAGGCTACTGCTATGCTCTTAGTTCCATTTCAGCACTTTCAGATATAATAATAATGATGTTTAGCACCAAATTCTTAATTACTCGTTGGTCCAGCTAGTGCCTGAGTTCGGTGAGATAAAGCTGACACTTCCAACATGTGAATGGAGAAGAGGAAAGATGCTGTTTTTCTATGTGTTCAGTGGAAAATTGGCTTGCTTGGCCCTGGTCTGTCCTAGGTGGACTCTGAAATTGCACCCACAGTCAGAGTATTCAGGGATCACATAGGAATATTCAAGCCTTGGACCACTGAGACAGGTCTGCAAGAGATGCAATAGTGCAGGATGCCCATCTTCTTTTGTGAAGGATCTAGGCTAATGGTAAGGCTAGAGCTGCAGCTGGACACCTTACCTGCCACAGGCTTTCTCTTTTAGTAAATCTGTCTGTTCCCTACCTAAAAAAAATGGGATGTGCAGGAGGAAAATGTTGGCTGGAAAATATTTTTTTTGTTTACTAGGAGGTGGTCAGGTCCTAAATGATGGGAATAGAGGCTGGAAATAAATACCAGAAAAAAAAAATACACTCTAAGAAGTATGGAGGTATATGAAGTGTGAGTGCATTCATGTGTCTTCAAAATAGGAAAAAAAAAAATAGAACGATGTGTGGAAGAGCCCACTCAATCTCTTCTAAATAAAAAGGATGTATATACATCTACCATTTACTCAAAGGAGATAAGAGTTAGATCCTGCAGTTCAAGCAGTCAACACAGAGCAGCCAGTAAGGTAAATCAGCATTTTATTCACCCTTATTTTAAACATTTTAGGCAGTATTGGGTATTTTCTTCTGGAGAAGACTATTCCACAACAACTATTTCTGATAATGAGTCCCAATTTTCCTTTTGCAGTGGTACAGTAATAGTTGCAGCTTATTTCACCAGCCAGGAAGCCCCCAAAGCAATTTACATCTCCTTCAGCTGTGACTTTAATGCAGTGCTCACTTCCACAAGTTCATTCAGAAGTTGCTGCATCAAATTATAGTAGCCATTGCCACGGGAAGGCTGCTGTCTCTCCTAGCACTCCAGCTCTTTGCAGGTCAGGTGTCACTGGTGGTGATGGACAAGCCCATACCAGTACAGGGATCTTTTTTTTTTTTTTTTTTTCCTATTTTCCAGGGCTGTCCTCAAAGAGTCGTTCTTGTTCCGCGGCAGTTTCAGTATGCAAGGCAGTCATCTAAAGTATGCATCAAATACTATATTGAGGCGTCAGCTGCAGCAAATGCAAAAGTGCCAGTCACACTGCGAGCATTCAGGAAGCTACAAATAGCTCGGGAAGTCACATTGGCTCAGGAAACGGAGTCAATTCTGCAACAAATGATCAATAATCAACACCTTTGCCGTATTAATTTCTCCGAGGCAGCCTGTTTCTCTTGCAGTGTGCCTACAAGACTGGCATACATTACTGTCAGTGAGTGATGCTGTCCCCTTAGCTGCTCATGTTTAATGAAAGCTTTGTGCCTATATATAAATTCTGTGTTTGAGTGAAACATCTTCCAAATCCTTCACAGCAGTTCTGGAAGAGACCTTTGGCTTGTGTACTGAGAAGCGAACTCACCCTTTCCGCCATGCACTGAGCTCTGCAGAATAAAAATGATACATGAATATAAAAATAGAACAGAAGAGACTATTTAGGTTGGACCAGATGCTCACACTCCTGCCACCTAGGTTGATTTAGCATTAGTGAATTCACTGTAAAAAGAAGTAAGTGTGGGAAAAATACGAAGCGTAGGTCTGATCCTGTTCTTTTTTTTTCTCCCACGTGTGAACTTGCTTCACACGAGCACCCTCTCCCTAAGTCAATGAAACTCTTGGTGCATGTTTTCTGTCACCGCTGATTACTTTTGAGAGGGTTGTCATGTTGCAGGCACAGAGGGATGAAGAGAAGAATTAAAGCACCAGTCCCCTGTTTTGTCTCCTTCTGCATAAACACTGCTCGGGGAAGGGAACACTGCTGAATGATCCGAGACCTGCCTGAGTGTATCCGATAGCGGCTGCGCTCCTTTTGAACATCAATGGGAAAAGGCACAAAGAATAAAAGGAGAGCTGCACGGGGAAGGTTCCCTCCTCCATCATTTTCCTGAACTGCTGCTCTAAGGACACGGGTGCGTTCACCTAGTAACCCAAGCTCGGCTTCCTCCTGCAGTCAGCCAAACAAGTCCATGGTCCACGAACACTTCAGTGGCTGTGCAAACGCATGCAGCTGGTGGAAGCACCGAACCAGAGGAGAGCTTGTGAGAGTAAAAGGAAGCGTGGCTCTTATAATCCAGCCTCTAATATTTGCCGCGATGATCCTCGTGTTCCTGATAAAAACCCTATCCAAAGGCCACCAGATAGAAAGATTCTGCCTATGATAGGCTTTGAGACAAGCATTGCGTTTTTAAACCGAGCCACTTCCCAGTTCTTAAAATCGCAATGTTTACCTCGGTGCTGCAGCTGCACTGTGAAGGACAGCCACTCTCACGGTTGGAGCATTTCCTGAACTAGTTTCTTAAACTTGCAGGAAGGAATTTTTATGGGGGACCTCTGGCTGAGCTATTCTTCACCGCTGAAATTGCAGAGTTTTCCTTATGCATCCCCGCCCTCCGTGGGTGTTGGATTTGCTGCAGATCTGAAGCCCTCCTCTCAGGTAAAATGTGTGACAACAACCCCTCCTTGCATGTGCCCACCTTCCAGGAATAATTGCCTATCGCCACTCAGAAGAACATTCACAGCAAATTTCAGCACCCATCAGGTGTTGATGTGTATCTCCTGCCTGATTATCTAAGCTTCCTTAGGGCATGCAGAGCTGTAGAGGACAATGCCTCCTCCAGTACCAGCACTGCAGTAATTTAAAAAAATCCCCCGAAGGGCAAGAGACACTTTCTGGGGTGAAACAGGGCTACATCTCTGCCTTGCTTGCTTGTAGGCAAAGAATAAGGCACAGAACATCTCCTTGCCATGGCAGACAGGTGGAGAAGCTACAAAGAGCTGTCATGTTACACCCTTGCATGGGGATGGTGGCTAAAATTGGGGCTACCTCACTTGAACTTCAAAATCTCTACCAAGCTGTAAGTGTCATGGAGAAAATTTATAGTAGACTCCCTTGCAGCACAGGGGCTGGGGACCACTGAAGGAAGCCTGGTTTGAACAAACAAAAGCAAGTGCTCTTCCCAGTCTGAATGACAGATCTGTCAAACACTTTCTCAGGGGATGCTGAGGATGCAAAAATTTTAGCTGGATTCAGGAAAAAGAAAGAACAAGTGCTTGGAAGAAAGATCCATTATGGGTCACTAAACAGAGCAGCTAAGTGAGGCTCAGAAAATCTCCTGAATCAAAATAGTCTTGAGGTTGGGAGAGTACTGAAGGTGAAAAAGAATCACACATACTTCTTCTGTTTTCATTTCTCCCTACGTGTCACTGTGGGAGAGAAATTTCTGGGCTAAATGAGCCCTGGCCCTGAACAAGAACCACTGTTCTCACCATCTTCGTGCCGCTGTTTCAAGAGAAAGAAAATAACTTCCTGACAACCTGTGGAGAAAAATAAATAGCTTAGCTCTTTCCTTCATTTTGATCATGTTTTTCAGTTATTTTTCTGGTTTGGAGCTTTTTTTCCCCTCATATCTGGTTTGTTGTGACTCCACTGTTTCAACTGGAAGATGGCTCGTGGATTGGCAACTCTCAGCCCGTTCTTGCAGAGAGAGCCACTAGGTCTCTCCCTGCTGCAGCATCTCTCTTTGGTCAACAGTAGAAACTGGAGAGGTCCACAAAAGCAACTCGGATTCCAGTTCCCTTGCAGCTTGCTCTTGCCTTCGCTGTAAACTCAAGGTGAAAGAGGAGAACAGCTCTAACACCACAGCACCCACATCTTACCTGGAAGGTGGGAGACTTCTCACACCCGCTAGCTTCTTCTCGAGGGAGTAGGTGAAACATTGGGTTAGCAGATCTCACAGCAGCCAGTGCAACCATTTCTCAGGGCTGTCTTCCAACCTGTTTGCTCTCCTGCAAATCAGACTAGTCTGAGAGGAGCTAAGATATATGTTGACACTTTGAGTTAGACATCCTTTTGGTCAATAATCAAGGCTTGCTCCTCCAGTAGCTGTGTTACAACTGTCCACGTCCCCAGCCAGGCAGTTTTCCACAAATATTTTTTTTCCTTACAAAGAAAAATTTTGGCTCGGATTTTTCAGCCACCTCCATTTATATTAAAGAGAAAAAAGCTGTTCGCTCATCCCTCATCCCTCTAATCCTTTCCATGCCAGCTTTGCCAAGAGATATTTTCTAGATTCTTCATCTTTACGGCTTCCTTTTCTTTCAGCCATGCTACACACCCCTGGGTCCCAACCCTGCACTAAGGCTGACAGTGAACTTTCTGTTCCAGGGTGTATGTGTCTGCCTCGCACTTGGGCGATGCCAGCTCCGCTTGGCACTCCAGCAGAGCCCGCGAGCTGAGCCATCGATCATCCTGTCCAACGTCACTCCTTCTCCCCGAAGTTTGCCTGACTGCTCCGCTGCAGATGGAATGCTTGAGGGACACTTTGGATGGTATTTGCACCGTGGTTCAAACGCAGAGTTTTGCTGGGGAGGCCGGATGAGCAGCGCCACGGGGCTGGTCCTCAGAGAGGCTGGATGTTTTCTCGGCAACAAGGTCAGAAAACAAGGAGAAAATCCTAAATTGTTGCAGATGTAAATAGATGTGACTGTGACTTCTCTCTAAGCAATGCTGAAACGTTTGCAAGCACACAGAGCTACAAATATTTCCTGCTCCACAACCCCACCAAAATGCTAATACTCGGATATTTCTCCACTACGCACTACGCCAATCTGCAGCTTGACCCTGCAGCCCGAGAGGAGGAAGGCTGCAACCCTGTGGCTATGCCTGTACCCTCCATGACTGTCATGCTGCTCTGTGACCCAAAACCTCATGGAGACCTCGGCCCTTCCCAGCTGCCCACAGGCTCCACCTCAACCCCCCGTTAGTCACCATTTCCCAGCTAAAGGTTAATTACTCTGGGGGACATTTCCATCCAAGCTGTTGCCCGCAGGTTGCAATCCCTTCGTGAGTGCTATTTTTAGACCAGCTCCTTCGTTGCTATTGATCCCAGTCACCCTCCGTTAATTAGATACACACAACACACACAGCATTTGCAACTCATTTATCAATTCCATTCAGCACCTCCATCCCCTGAGATGTAATTTGGAGCCCTCCTTGAATCATGCTATTGATCTTTCCCAGCGACTTTGCTATAGGATTCTCTGTGTTGCAAACTATTTATAGATCCTACTTCTTCTCCTGCTCTCCCTTGGGGAATCAGAAATGGGCAACGGTAATCAGGCTTCTATTTTTAAGAAGGAGTTGATCGAAACCAGATATTTCCTCTTTTCTCCTTCCCCCTGTTGCCGTTAGCACAAGCGTCTTTCAGCAGGTGAGACCTTCCCGCTCTGCGTGGCGCTTGTAATGATTTTGGTAATGCTCAGGTGACGCGATCCAGGCCTTGCCCTGGAGGATGAAAATTTCGTTTGCTGAATTAACAAAATGAATCCCTCACTCCTCACTGTGTCCAACGGTTTCACGAAGGGCTCTGTGACCTGTTTTGGACTGCTCAGCCTGAGGTGCTCCTTTCAGAGGGCTTCTGTCTCGGAGACTGACTTCTCAGCATGCAGATTTGATCCATTTTCAAGGCACCGGGTTCCCGTTGCACGCTAAAGGAAGGGTACCCAAAGCCCTTAAACATCCTGTAGTCAGGACTGGGACATATAGAGATGCTTTTAGGGAGGGAGGACAAGTAAGAAGCCCAGGTGTCCCAGGATTTCAGAAAGACCTAAAATGGGACTGCAAGAAGTCAGGAGCAACTCAGCCTTTGTTGGCTACGACTGCAAATCCCAGCTGTAGGGCAGGAGTTACCATCTAGGGGCCTGCAGTTACCATGGGCAAGGTGACACCATAAGGACAGCCTTGTGCTTGAAGCTTATACAAAAATGCACCTTAGGACTTCCCCTGGTGGCACCTACTGCTGGAAAGCTGATGGTGACATGGGGGAGAGGAGCTGGGCAGGCTGCCAGGCGGTGCTGTGGCTGGAGGCCAGCTGGGGTGTTTGGGGCTAGGGTGTAGCTGTGATGTTTGGGGTTGTGGTATTTGGGGCTGTGTGTGAAGCTGGGGTGTCTGGGGCTGAGGTGTGTGGGGCTGTGTGTCTGCAGCTTGGATATTTGGGGCCGTAGAGTTTGGGAGTGTGCATGTGCAGCTGTGGTGTTTGGGGCTGTGGTGCCTGGGGTTGTGTGTATATTGCTGTGGTATTCGGGGCTGTGGTGTTTGGGGATGTGGTATTTGGGGCTGTGGTGTTTGGGGCTGTGGTGTTTCGGGTTGTATGAGTGTAGCTGTGGTGTTTCGGGTTGTGGTATTTGGGGCTGTGGTGTTTGGGGCTGTGGTGTTTGGGGTTGTGTGAGTGTAGCTGTGGTGCTGGGGCTGTCTGTGTTTAGCTGTAGTGTTTGGGGATATGCATATGTAGCTGTGGTATTTGGGGCTGTAGTATTCGGGACTGTGTAGCTGCAGTATTCGGCACTGTGGTGTTTGGGGCTTTGTGTGTGTAGCTGTGGTATTTGGGGCGGTGATGTTTGAGGTTGTGGTATTTGGGGCTGTGTGTTACTGCCGTGGTGCCTGGGGCTGTGTTATTTGGGACTGTGGTATTCAGGGCTGCGTGTGTGTATCTGCGGTGCCTGGGGCTGTGGTATTCGGGGCTGTGCGTATGGCTGTGGTGTCTGGCACCGTGTCACTGTGGTGTTTGGGGCCGTGTGTCTTCGGGGCTGTGCATTACTGCGGAGCCTGAGGCTGTGCGTGTGCAGCTGAGCTATTTGGGGCTGTAGCGTCTGGGGCTGCGGTTCTGGGGGCTGCAGCGTGCCTGTGGGGCTGCGTCCCCCACAGCTGCAGCGCCCACGGCCATGAGGCGCGGAGCTCGGCCGGCGGTGAGGGGCGGCTCCGCCCGTCCCGGCAGCCACCTCCCCACCACCACCACCACCACCACCACGGCCACCACCGCCCGTCCCCGCTTGTGGCGGCCGAGGCGTGGCCATGCCGGGGGGAGGCGGGCAGCGAACGGCGGCGGGGGAGCCCCGCGGCCTCTCCCTGACAGGGCGGCGCCGACGGGGTTAAGCCGCTCCCCGCGGCGGGCCGGGGCGAGCTCCCGCCTCCCGAGCCGGCTGCGGGGCGGCCACGGACACACAGCCGGGCACACTCACACACACACACACGGGCACGCTCATACACACACACACCCCTCACACTCGCTCTCACACACACACACGCCGAGCACACACTCACACACGCGCGGGCGATGGCAGAGGGGCGCGGGCTTCATTTTCCCCGAGATGATGTCAAGAGCCTGGGAGAAGGAGGAGGAGGAGGAGGAGGACGCTTGCTCTTTTCCTTAACGGCTTTGTTCTAAAAAAACCATCCGAAATAAACCAGCCCAGGGGGAGCAGCCGCGAAAGTAGCCTTTTTTTTTTTTTTTTTCTCTTCCAAATCTTTATTTATTTATTTTTCGTTTGTCTGTGTGTATCTTCTGCTCCCGGGGGGTGGGAGCAAGGCTCCGCGTCCCAACCCGGGCAGGTGCTCCAGCGGCGGCCGCCTCCCCGCCGCCCTCCCGGCCTCTTTCTCTCTCTCTCTCTCTCTCTCTTTCTCTTTTTCTCTTTTCTCCCCGCCCGCCCGGGGCGGCTCCGGGGCCGCTCCTCCCGCTCGGCTCGGCTCGGCTCGGCTCGGCTCCTGCGGGGCGCTGGCTCCCCGCCGCCCCCGCCTCCTGCCGGGGATGCTGCCCCCAACTCCCCGCCCGTCGCCTGATACCACCACCGCTACCACCACCACCACCACCACCGCTACCACCACCACCACCGCCGCTTCTTTCTTCGCCTCCCCGGACTCCGCACCGCGGACACCTGCAGCAAGCCGGCTCCCCGCCGCCCGCCTCGCACGGCGGCCGAAGGAATAAAAGCGCCCCCAGCCCGTCCCGAGCCTCTCGGACGGAGAATTTTTTCCCCCAAAATCTTCTCCCCCACCCCTCCCCGCCTTCCTTCTCAAGCAGCCCCCGGAGCCCAGCCGCTCCTCGGCCCCTCCATCCCCGAAGAAACTTGGGACGGGGCCGGCTCCAGCCTCCCCGCCGAGCCCTGCCCGGGCTGCGGGGGGCGAATTGGCGGAGGGGGGGGCCCTCAAAGCACCGCAGGACCCCGTCCCGGCTCCTTCCTTCCTTCCCACGCCGGGGACCCCCCCCTCTATAACCCCTGGCCTCGGTGCTGGGGAGGAGCGGGGTGTGTGTGTGGGGGGGGTTGCCCTGGATGGCCCTGCGCACTGGGACGGCTTGGTTTGGGCAGGTCCTGCGCAGAGTTTCCCGGCTCCAAGGCACCTGGTCCCGGCGCTCCAGCAGCCTCCTGTGCCTCTCGTCTGGCCAGGAGCCCGAGCACAAGCTGCCCCCCAGCAGCGGTGGCGGTGGGCGCCGCCGCCGCCTCCCCCGGCAGCTGTCCCCCTGCTGCTGCTGCTGCTGCTGCTGCTGCTGCGGCTGCCGCGGCCTGTCGGATCCCCGGGCGGCCAGGGGGGGACATGGTCCCCTCACTCGCCCCTTGCTGGCGGCCATGAAGAGGCAGAACGTGCGGACCCTGTCCCTCATCATCTGCACGTTCACCTACCTGCTGGTCGGGGCCGCCGTCTTCGACGCGCTCGAGTCCGACAACGAGATGCGGGAGGAGGAGAAACTCAAAGCCGAGGAGATCCGGCTCAAAGGAAAGTACAACATCACCAGCGAGGACTACCGGCAGCTGGAGTTGGTGATCATGCAGTCTGAGCCGCACCGGGCCGGCGTCCAGTGGAAATTCGCCGGCTCCTTCTACTTTGCCATCACGGTCATCACGACCATCGGTGAGTGGCTTCGTTTTGGGGAGGACCTTTGGGGTCGGGACAAAAGCCTTCTCCCTCCCCTCTCCCGGCTTGGAAGAAAGGGAGAGGGGCAAGGGGGCTGTGGCGTGCAAAGTGTTAAGTGCCGGATGAGTGTTTTGGCTGCCCTCCCGTGTTATGTAATTTGTGGCTCTCCATGGGCAACTTGTTGGACTCGGAGGTGTCCCGCATCTCTTTCCCCTGGAGATGGAACCTGTTGTCCCCTGGGTGGGACTGGAGAGGAGCGGGGCTATGCTGGTGGGGGACTGGTGGCTACCAAGTGGCTACCACCGTCCTGCGGCTTGGGTGGCGAGGAGGAGGTGGGGAAGGGGCGGGATGGCACCGCTCGGGGGGTTCCCCGCGGGAGGAGCGAGGCCCTGCTGCCACGCTTCTCCTGGGAACCGTGCGTGCACCTGCACTTCGGAGACACAGGGAAAACTTGGGCAAAAGGCAGCTGGATGAGGACAAAACGAGGAGGGCGTGTGAACAGGCTCAGCCTGGAACCCCCTCTTTGCAGCCGTGGCTGAGGGCAGCCCGGCTCTCCCAAACTTTGTCTTGGCATTGGCGAAAGGCTGTGGTGGGGTTCCCACAGCTGCGGTCTCCCGATGTGTTCCTGAAGTTTTCTTTGCAGCTGGAGCGCCTGATGTGTCAACAGGTCACAGAGTGCATCTCCTCTCTGTGGCCGTACAGTCCAGCCGGCAGAACGATGCCCGCTGTCGTGCCGGTGTTGCCTAGCTCCCCGGACATGCCATTCCCCAGGACAGCAGAGGGACCATCAGCGGACGCAGCCACAGGCTGTCATTTTGTACTTCTCTGCTTCGCTCAGCTCAGACGGAGCATTTCACATAAAGTTTGCTTCCCTGCCGTAAAAAATAAATGCCACGGTAACTAGAGGCTGCAGTGTGCACGCCAGGCTGCTGCAGCTCGGGCTTTGGCTTGGTTAGCAGGTGTGTTCTTCCTTGTTTTGCTTTCGGTAGGGTGGATTTGCTGAGGCTGTTCGACTCGTCCTTCTCTCAGCACTTCTAGATGCTCCCCTCTAATATCTGGGGAGATCTGAAAATACCCCTCTAGCTCGGAGGCTGCTTGACAGTGCCTTGTATTGAACACGAAAGAACTAGCTCTCATGCTAATACAGGAGGACTCGATCTTTTTTTTTTACCAGTTAGGGCTTGTTACGACCAATTACCACGTTGCCACCTGAAGATAGTGGCAGTTTTCAGCAGAGTACGCCGTCCGCTGTCCTTTGAGCTGTGTGTACTTACATTTGTATTTGACTATGTTATAGCTGGTGCATTAACGTGTTCATCTGAAAGACTATTTGACAGCATGAAGCCTATTTGCCCTTTCAAAGATTAGATTTTAAGTGGCAATCTCCTTTTCTGTTACTATATACATACATAAATAAACATATGCAAGTAGGCTATAGAATATAAAGTAGAATGTAACTTTAGCAGATGACTTAGATTTGCTTTTCTTCATTATGGTGTCCGAACTCTCCTCCTTTGCTGACCGATTCTCTCTTCCTTGATCTGTGTCTTGTCATTTATTTGGGCTAAGTGAATACTGGACTATCGTGCCCTCCTGGTTTACAACAGGGCTTCCATGCACATGCCTGTATACTCACAGTGCCCTATACTCCTGCCTGAGCTGCAATACTTTCTGTGTTCTTAAGCTCGGTTGGTGACAGGTAGAAAGGGCTGTTTTTACAGTATTTTGCTGTTTTGACCGTATTTTACCTGGAAACAAGTACAACTTGCCTGGGAGGCTGTAGCATTTTCTCATGCAAAGAGCTGAGATTCATGTAGGAAGCTCGGAGCCCATCAGCGTGCAGAGGATAGTAGTGTACATTTCTGTAGGCTGAGGTGCTTTGGGATGTCAGAAATGTGTAGGTTTAAAGCATGTATAGCAACGGGGAACCACAGGAAGGGAAAAGGATAATAAAGAATGGTGCGGAAGGACGTTCTTTGACAATTGTTCATTGGGGAAGCTCTGCTCCAGGAGGATACGTGATCCCTCTTGCAAAAGTTTATTAATAGTTACTATCAGTATCTTGCCAAACTTATTTCTGTTTTGCATGTTTCTTCAGTACTAAAGTAGCTTCAGGATGTTATCTGATCTACTGGTGGTCTGTAAAAGTGAGCATGGGCGGTATTTCTTTATTTTTCATTTATCCTAAAAAAAAAAAAAGGTTCACAAGAGCAAAGTACGACTTTCTATATTAAAGTTCTCAGGAAAATAAGAATAGATTTCTTCTCTGTTTCTTGACCTGGACAGCAATCTTGAATGTTCATCTTCATCTTTTTTTGGTGGTTCTTATTTTTAATCTAACTGTGTGTGCTCTCACATACATTTCCTTCTCCCTCTGAAGCTTTCCAGACACACTTCAAGAAGCACATGCCGTGTATGCATTAGTGAGCGTGCTGTAGGCAGTAAGTGCTCTTGTAAAAGTGCCTCTAAATAACCATCTCAGGCTGTTTTTTAAAACAGAGTGAATAAAACCCTCTGTCGCCTATTCCAGAGTGGTAAATCTGTCTCCACGAACTTCTCCTCGGAGGAGTGCAAGAGGAATCAGTGGACCACAAAGTCTAGCGATATGCATATGATAGCAGGCTAATTTATGTCTAACCTAATTGCTCTCCTTGATATTGCAACGTGCCTGCAGCGATTCCCTCCTCGCCGTGCTGCGTGAAACTCCGGCAGCCTTAATTTAATGCAGGAAGGTTCTCATGGGCCATGGACCGTGGTCTGGATGTGATCGATCTCTTCTTCCTCCGGGCTCTTCATCCTGCGAGGTCTTCATCCTCCGGGCTCTTCATCCTCCCGGCGGGACATGGTGCTGAAGGGACAGCTCCGGCAGCCTCCACGCCTCCTCCCCAGCCTCCCCAGCGGGCAGCCTCCGCAGAGAGGGGCTTCGTTCGGGTGGGATTTGGGCTCTGAAGGCCAGGTTGGGTTGGCTACTGAAAGCTGAAAGCCTCCTGTGCGAGGTGAAGCGCTGAGCGTTGGCCAACTCTCACGTTTCCTTGAACCTTCAGCGTTTCGCCTGGGGTAGAGGGCGGGAGGTTGTTGCTCACTTGTCAGTCCGACTGCTAAATAATGAAACCAGGGCTGATTGAATAAATGGAAACATTTTTATTTATTTATTTATCTATCTATCTATTTATTTATTTTCCACCTGTGGCAATATTTTTTTTCCTACTCCCCAGGTGCAATGATGTTTGTGTTTGTTTGTTTGTTTGTTGTCTATTTTTTGAAACAACTGCAGGTGCTACATGTTTTTATGGCTCTGCTCTTAAAATTCACAAGCTGAAGGGAAATAACCACCCCTTCACGAAGTTTGGGTCCTGCTTGAATCCTGTGAAAGTTTTTAGGTGATCAGAACGAACTAATAGGCTGTTCTTGGCTGTTGCCAGTTGCTGAGTTTATTTCGGGATTGCTCTCACTTCAGAGTTAGCTAGTATAATTTCCTATCCATTTACAGTTACACAGCCAAAACGATGACAGAGAGTGATTTAATCCAGTTCTCCATCCAGCTATTTGTCTTTTCTGAGAAACACTGCAGAATATGCCACTGAGTATCAAGAGGCTGGCTACGATGAATGAAAACACCAACTTTTGAAAATAAAAAGTAGCTCCTAGGATTCCTACTAAGTTTCGGTGCCCTTTTCCACAGGTTTATAGGAGTGGCTAAACTGCTTCTGTGTTAGCAGGTGTCGACACTGTCAAAATGTGTTGTTGGTATGGCTATCGCTCTACCATTTAGGCCTTAAAGGGTGATAGTCATACTTGATTTAACACCACTGAGCTCTAGTAAACACTGAATATTTCTGGAGGCTTGTGTAGAATGTAAAGAACTGAAAGCTGTTTGTGTCACCCTAAAATGAACTGAAACAACAAACAGATTGAGGATTTTTATTTATTTATTTTTTTTTCCCTGGGAAGTTACTGTAAGGAGAACAAAATTGAAACAGTGTGTGTGCTGTGAATTGCTAGTCTCTTTTTCTAGCTTTTAGGCCTTTGTTTTCAGTCTCAAACCTACTGTATGCAGTGAATGAAGTATCCTGGTGAACAGAGACAAAATATTTTTGGAGAATGTGGTGCAACGTCTGTAATGATGAATGGAGAAACCACCTACTGACAGCTGTTTGGCTACTGATACCTAAAGATTCAGGAGCTGTTTACATCCAGAGGAGGGGATGGCTTACTTCTGGTGGCCTCACAGCGAATTTGAACCTGTATTAATGAACTAAGCAATCACATGCTTAAACCCAGATCAGGATAGTTATTTTGTGCCCTCATCCTTTCTCTGCATTGCTTTACCCTTCTGTAAAATGGGTATAAAATACTCACCATGCTGATAGTGTTGTGATGTTTCTAATTTGGGTTAGAAAAAGATACGTTTTAACGTGTGAATTGTTTTGTCAGTGGTGCTCCTCCTTTACGGCCAGCCTCTGGTGGTTTGAGTCTGCTTTTGTTTTTTGATAGATGGCAATAGCTAAAAGCAGTCCATTGAAGAGCTGCGAGTAGGGAATCGTGTCAGATGGACAACTTGCAGTGGAAAGAAAGGAAGACAACAAGACATAGAAGGAGAAAGGCCAATATTTTGTTCAGTTAACTGCTGTGCTTGTGAATTGCTGGGACCATGAAGGTCATACCTCACTGAAAAGAAAGAAAACCAACAACCAACAACAACAAAAACACACACACACACAAACCAAACCAGAAAACAACCAAGACAGAGTAGATGAAAGCCACTTTATTATTAATAAGCTCAGGTGAAAGTAGAGAGCAAGATTTTCTGGTGTTTGTAGATCCACAGAAGTAATGGATCTGTTCTGATTCACACCACATGAAGTTTCAGTGGAGATTACTGGATGATCAGAAGTTGTATTATCTGCTTGTGGCATCTCCTGGACAAAGAGGAGATCAGCTTCTGTGAGCCACATGAAGATGAGTTTATGTAGAGTTTGCTCTCCTGCATAATTAAA